CGAGTTTGAGAGAGTGAGTGAATCTTGCGAATGAGTTTTTATTGAAAACAGGTTTCTGCTGGGTTTTGAAGGTGTTGGTTGCTTGACTGAGATGAAGAGAAATGGTGGGTTTCAGTGGCTGGGTTTTGTTTTTTGAAAGCAGAAGCTGGTTAGAGAAGGACTTAATGGTTGATGAGTCCTTATTTACAACGAAAGGGATGATAGTTGGGAAGGAGGCTAGAGGCGCCTCCGATTAGCGTTTTCTTGATTTATCGTTGTGCCTCTTATGAAAGTTGTCTTGGCCCTTTTTTAGAGAAGAGCTGAAGAGTGGTCTTCACTTCTGGGTGTGTTTCCTGGCCCTTTCCAATAATCCTTTTTGGTATGTCCCTCTTTTAATCAAATACAGGTTGTTTTGCAGGTTTGTACAGTTTTGGTTTGTGGTAGCAGAATGGTGCAGGATTTGGTTGTTGATGGCAGGTACGGTTTGTTGTTGCATTTTTTTCTGGTGTTGCAAGTTGTGGGTCCACAGCAGATTATGATGTGGTAAAAGAGCTTATGGTCCTCTCTATTTGTCATGTAGTGAAGGTTGTATCAAGTTGTAGTTGAAAAATGAGGCCAGCTTATCTGATTTACGAAGGTGGAAAGGTATAAGTTTTCTTGTAGATACCTCTTTCCTTTCCTTTTTCTCTACTCTTTTCAAATAACTTTGTTCTTCTTAGCCTCTTCTGTTGATCTTCTGTGTTGTAGCATTGTGTGGTCATTTTTCATCATAGGCTATATGGTGCGGTTTAGAGCAGGTTTTATTCTGTACCACTGCAACATTGTACCAGAGTTTTAGGTAGTGGCTATTTGCTTTTGGAGGCTTGCGTTTTGGAGGTGGGATATCGCGTACGGAGTTGTGCTGCTGTAGCAGGATGAAGTTTTTTGAATTGGTTTCTGTGAGAAAAATTTTCAATTGGTGTGAAAGTTATTTTGCTTTGTAGAAAAAGTAGCAGGGTATTACAATGAGCCATTACATCGTGTTGTTATTTGAAAACATTGTGCAGGTTTTGGTTTGATGGTAGTATAGGGTGTGGTGCGTACGGCATGGTTTGTATGCTGAAAAAGTATGTAGATTGTAGAAGTGTGTATGTATACATGGCTTGGGTTCATTTAATGAAATAGGTGTCCTTCTCATGTTCAACTTGGTTATTATTTGCTGCTGCAAGATGCGATTTGCTTGCTTATCATGGTGTGGGCTTTGTAGCAATTTTTTGCAAGTTTTAATGTCAAATGGACCCATTTTTATATGTATATTCTTTAAATTCAAATGGGCTTGAAATAAAATCTTACTATCCATTGTTGATTTGAACTTGATTTATCTTGAATGTCACTTGTTTTATGATTAATACTTGACATTCTTAGACAACATTGTGCTTGTTCATGGATGGAAGTAGAAGCAAAAGTTGCCTGCACCACAACATCATTCCTGAACCTCTAAAAATAATTTGACGATGATGAAAGCATTATGAATCAACTAAATCATGTCTTAGAAATCAAACTTGAACTGTGGGACCAAAACAAACCCATGTTGAACTTTTATATTTGAGCCAAACTCTTCACTATTGGTCAAATGAACCCCCCTTGAAAATGAATTGAACCCTGATGATCTTTAATCATGAAACACCTAACTTTGCCATAGTCTGATGAGTTGAAAATAAGTAAAAATACTTGTTTGACCAGGATGAGGTCAAACTTCACTTGAATTCCAACCATTACTACCCTTAGCTTGATCACTTTGCTTGACAACTTGATTTTGATACAAAAATCCTAATTCGAACCTCAACCACACAATACTTGAATTAGTGCATCCTGAAAGTAACAACATATTTTTGGATCTTCTGAACGATGGTTAGTGGGTAAATGTACAGATAGAGGATACATACATTGGTAGGACAAATTTGGGGTATGACATGTGTGTGTGTGTGCGTGTGCGTGCGTGTGTGCGTGCGTGTGTATGGGTGTGGGTGTGTGGGGGGTGTGTGTGTGCACGCATGCGTGTGTGGTGTCTGTGGAGGCGTATGTGTGCATGCGTGTGTGGAGCATGTGTGTGGTGTTTGTAGGAGCGTGTGTGTGCGTGTGCGCATGCGCGGGCGTGTGTGTGTTTGTGTGTTGACTTAGTATGGTAGGATTTACTCTTCAGCATCATATTTGGACATGTTCAAGATTAACTCTTAAAGGTTATGGGAAATTGTGTATATTATACTTAGCTGAAACTACTCTTTGTGCGATTTTTAAAATCATTTTCTAGGGCTGACAAAGACCCACAAAAATACCCATCTGGAATTGGCGGCTCGAAAGCCAAGCCAAACTCACAAGTTGATAATGGTGGAAATTTTGGAAGGTGAAATTCCAAAGCAAAATCATATTTGTCCTTTATAAAAGGAGGAAAATGAAGATTAGGAATTTTGTCAATGGTTTTTTGTTTCATTGTAGAAGTTGCATCATAAATACTCCCTCTGGTCCAAATTATAAGAGACATTTTACTTTTTAGATGCATTCAATAATTTATGTATTTTGTCCATATATAGTCCATATACATTAATTATTCAATGTATATAAAAAGTAAATTGTCTCTTATAAATAGGACAGGAGGTAGTAGTTCGACTAAGATTATGGGGATTATACACAGTTTCAAAGTAATAATGAAAAGCTCGAATCTCTTTGATTTTCATACCTCGATTTTTCTTATTTTTATTCTACAGAAAGGAATAAACATATGTTAGATGTCGAAGCAGAGTCGAAGTCTCCACAACAACACGATTGTAGTTGGCAGACTGCCAATCTTCAAATTCCTTAGTGCAGTGAAAAGAAGGTTTGAATTCAAAAGAATTCAAATTAATGACTTTTTTAGCATGAAAGTCTAAACACTCCTTATAATATGCCTTAATTGGTGTATCATTAGTCAGAAAAACTTCCTCCTCTTTGGTGAACAGGGAATTTGACAGGAATTGGCTACTCCAAAGCTGACAATAGGGATGGCAACGGGACGGGGGCGGGTTTAAATATACCTGCACCCGCCTCCACGTAACACACCCGTCCCCGCCCCCAAACTCAACCGGGGATAAAAATTTACCGTCCAGACCCGCCCCCGGTGGAGAACAGGTGCACCTGCCCCGCCTCCACCCGGAAAAATGTTTTTTTTAATTGCAATAAAAATTAATAATTTAATTAAAAAATTGATTATTTTAATAAATTAATTATTTATTTAATTTAAAATTTTAATTAGTAAATGAATATTAACTTGATTAATTTAATTATTTTAATTGCAATAAAAGTATTAATAATTTAATTAAAAATATAATTAAAAATAAGTAAAACAAGAGAATTAAACTAAAATGCATTATTTGGGGCGGGTCGGGGGCATGTGCGGGCGGGTCTTAGTGTCTCCCCGCACCCGCACCCACACCCGTAGTTAAGAACCGGGTTTCCCCCGCACTCGCACCCGCACCCAATTAAATCGAGTTTTCCCCGTTAATTTCGGGGCGGGCCCAGGCGGGTGCCCGCGGGTCTGGGTTGTTTTGCCAAAATTGGGATTGTCGAAAGTAAAATTGAGTTTAATCTGGTGTTTAAGAGTGAAGTTTAAAGTTTCTCCGGTTGGTTGAACACCAGTAATAACACCAATGTCGAAATGAGTGGAAGTGATTATTCCACGTGGTAAATAAAAAGTATTAGTTTAAGACTCCCAAAAACAGATGGAAGCTATAAGCATGCGAGGGTTATACTTGGGTCCAGTTATGAATAGGTCTATCAAATCAAAAATACCTTGATATTTTCAAGTTTGTTCCTTTTTCTCCCAGATGAGTTTTCACACTTTTTCTCTTTCACAACTCTGAAAGTTTCATCTTCTTTTGCCAGATACATTGATTATATAAACACTTCACGAAAAATATTTTAATTGATTAGGACTTGAGATATCTTAAAGTTAATCACCATCATCAAAGAATTAAAAAGATATTACCATCGACTTAACACACTAAAATGGTTAATAGTATATGGATCATTAGGATTAAACTCCATATCTGCAAGCACAATACTTGTTAGCTTCTTTTGAAAGTTCTTCTCTCTTTTTCTTCTCAATTTGGTTTTTTGAATTTTATTCAAATTGTTGTTCGTTGTTTGTATAATATGGTGAATAAAATAATGATAAGTTGAATTAAAATATAACATCATTGTTATGACCGTAGGATGATCTTTATATTGTAGAGGAAAGGAACTGTTGAAATATTGTACTTTTGCACTAAACTATTTCTTGTCCTTAGCACTTGTAGCGGGCATGTTCAAAGACACAGGGATTTAAATTCACCTTCAAACTTCATTTTAAACCATTGCTAATCCTTGGTAAACATATTCTGATTCTCTGCTTATCTTTTTTCTACCCAAAGAAATTCTCTGCTTATCTTTTTTCTACCCAAAGAAATTACCTTATTAGGGATACACACCAGTTTATGCACGTAGTCTTAGATTTGAAAAGCTAAAAAAAACAGATACCCTTTAATAGGAATTAAACATCAACAAATTTTCCAAAAGAAAAAAGTAAAACTTGGTTTCAAAACATAACAATAACTCTAATTTTCAATATTCAGTGTCAATTTTCATATAAATCACATCATGTCAAATTTTATTCACAGTTGGTTTACCTATATCAGTTTGAGAGAAAGCAATGAGTTGGAAATGAGAGAGATCAAGTGATCTGATTAAAGGTTGAAAGATGAGAGACAAAAGAGAAGCTCAATGGAGACAAAAGAGAAGCTCGATGGAACAACTTACCTTCCTGTTTTTACTTTTTTTAAATAAGTGGGTTAAACACAGAATCTATGATGTTTTTCAATCAACCACTAAAAATAAAAACCAAGGACTGTACCATAAAAGAGAAATATATATTACCAAAAGGATGGTCGGATAGCAAAGGAAAATCTAAATTCACAACATTGTGCATATATTAAAATTTCCAAAATGAACCTAACTTCAAACTGTAATCTCTAAGCCTCCTTACGCAAATACAACTTGCCAACCACATGAAGGATAGCAACAAATGCTATAAACCCAATGCTCATAACAAGAACCACATTTGGGGAGATCTTGAGTCCAGGTGCATCATCAGTGTAAAATTGAAGCATAGTCCCGGCAGCTCCTCCAGAAGCTCCACCACCGGGTGTCTTCCTTCTCCTCATGCTGGCTGTAGCCGCCGCACTTCCTCTTTGGGGAGTTGCTGAAGCCATTTTCTGAAACACATTTTCAAACATTTGGAATGTTAAACTAAAACCCACAAGCAAAAACCTTGTAAATGTAATACACAACACATAGAATTTATCAGACTCTGGAACCAATGAAAATGGAATGCATAACATAATCCTACAAGCGGCGGACAAAAGATAGTTCTGGCAGTACAATATTGATTTTAATAGTATCCTTCATCTTCTCTACCATTTATAAATTTTTTATAAATAAAAAATTTGTATCTAATCCTGCACACTTCAAATACAACAATCATAACAATATTGAAAATCTGCAAAAGATCTGCAACGCTCTGTTCTCAAATGGTCTAGTACCGTAAAAACACAACAAAACGGTACTAAAAAGTGTTGATATCTATATCGTTATTCACCTCTTTTAACATAAAGAAAAAAATGTGGTTTGCAACGACAGCAACAAGTGTCGCAACACCTGTGCAGCCCAAAATTGCAAAAGTCTTTTTGCGACCGCGGCAGTTTTTAAAACCTTGCTCTGTATAGCAAAGGAACCCTACCAATATCTGAAAATAAATAACTAATTGGTGCACCTCTATATTTCTCCATCCAAATTAAACAACTACACAAAGCCTCAAATTTGATCTTTCGATAAGAGCTATTCTGAAAACCTCATTGTTCATGCAGTGAGAAAAAACATCAAACTCTGTACACAATCGTCAAATTTTTGTATCGATTACAATAATCGCGCACAAGATCATTCGGGAAAGAAAGTTGGAATCACAGTTCAAATTAAATCATCAATACAAATAAATAGAGAGAAAAAACATTTCAAATCGAAGAAATCCACGAGCAATACATGCAAACAGCAAAAATTCTGACAAGTACAAATCATCAACAGTTCAACGCAAAAGAATAACCTCTAAACCAAATAGAAATCAAAGCATCAAGATCAATCTCATAATAGTCTTAACAGATCCAGAATTTCACAACTAAAACATCACAATCTCATTAGTTTTCAAGCTAATTAGCGTCATTATACAATAAAATCACCAGATCTAAAATGTATCAAGAAAATTAGGTTCCAAAACCGAACAAATCCGAAATTCAAACACAAATCAGATCGCAATCACCGATCGAAAAAATTCAAAACAAGTCAAAGCATGCAAATTAAGATACATAAGCTGAGGAATGATCATCGAACAACACGCATCAACGAGAAACAGAGATCGAATTGAAGAGAGAAAGTGAAAGAGTTTTACCTGAGTTGAAACCGAGTTCGCTGATTGAGAATGAAGAGCTGCAAAGACAAGTCGATAGGCAGAGGAAATAAGTCAATAGTGAATTCTCAACAAATTAGAGATATTTATATTAATTCTAGTATTCTTTCTACCCATTAAATATCTTGTTGATTTTTTTTATTTTTATTTTTATTTTTATTTTTGTTAATATAATTTAAAATCTAATTTATCTCTTTTTAATTTTATTTAAGATATTTATTTCAATAAAGTTCAATTTTTTATTTAAAAAGATAGTTTTATTTTAAAATAAAATACTTCAAATTTATACCATTTTAAAAGACTACCTACTTTATTATTATTTTTTTAAATTATTTGATTCAATTCATCAAACATCCCACTTATAACTTAATTTTTTTATAGTTTGTTTCCGAATATATATTTTTATTTTTTAATTTTAAAAATATTTTATTTTTTATTTTATTTTTATGTAAAACCATTTAAACTTTAAAATTACATAAAAAAATGAAAATATTAGGACCTTGTTGGATTTTAACCATAGACCTTTTATCTAAAAAGAAGGCTCTATCTCCTAAGCTTGCATTTGTGACTTCAATAATATTCTTGGATTCAAAAGCACCGAGGTCCTCACTCCCCTGCAAAAGGATTTTTGAAAATTAATTTTAGAAGACCATCCCTAATTTGATTGACCTCACCAAACCATAAACAATATGTTTGCAATCATGCCCTTTACAGGGAAAATGAAGATTGCAATGTTGAGTCTTTATAAAGACAATTCACTTGGGTTTGATGGCTTTGGAGGACACTTGTTTTAAACTTAAGTTATTAGTTCATCATTGGAAATGATGTTTGTCATGCAGTCTTGGAATTCTTCTCTACCAACACTATCCTTCATTACTTCAACTCTAATATTGTGGTCTCGATCCCTAAAGTTTCTGAAGTTGACACCATATCTCAGTATAAGCCAGTTTCCATGGCTAATTTCAAATTTCAGATTATTTCCAAAATTCTTGAATACATGCTAGCACTGATCCTTCCAACAATCATTTCCACATAGCAAAGGGGCTTCATTCAAAATATGCATATTAAATATTGTGATTGTCTTGCATTTGAAGCAATCAACATGCTTAATCACAAATCTTACCATGGCAATCTTGCAATCAAAATGGATATTTGAAAGGATTTTGATAAAGTGGATTAGTAATTTATTCTCAAAGTCCTCAAGGCAATTGGTTTTTGCACTAAGTTTTTTTCTTGCTCTAGGGGAGTTAGGCAAGGTGACCCTTTGTCACCTATTCTATTTTGCATTACTTATGACGTTTTAAGTAGGGGCATCACCAACCTTTTCAATTCAAAAAGTGTGCAAACATTAAAGAGCATTAGATAAATGCACATTCCATCTCACATTCTTTATGTTGATGATGTGATGATCTTTTGCAAGGGCGCTTCTTCCAACATTAATACTATAGCAAATTTCTTCCATAGATAAAGCCTAAGTCTCAAGTAAACATGTGAACCCTCGCAAATCTAAGATTTATGGGGGATCAATAACAAATCATAGATGAATGAAATTTCATCACCCCTTAAATATAATATTAGTAATCTACCTTTTACATGCCTTGGTGTCAAAATTTTCAAGGGAAGAACTAGAGCCATTCACTTCCAGCCCATCAATAATAAGATCAAAGTCAAGTTGACCTCTTGGAAAGCAACTCTTCTTTCATTTATAGGAAGGGTCTAGTTGATCAAAAGCATTGTTCATGGCATGCTCATATTATCCATCTCTATTTACTCTTGGCCTAAGTCCATCATCAATGACCTTGGCAAGATATTACGAACTTCATTTGGAGTGGAGACATTGAGGCTAGGAAAGTTGTCGTTGTGGCTTTGGATAACAATGTGCACCCCTATATTTGATGGTGGCCTGGGTCTAAGAAGAGTATCCACTCTTAATGCAGCATTTAAGGTCAAACTTTGTTATGCAACGATGAAGTCTTCTTCCTAATGGGATCAACTTCTGAGAAGCAAAATTCTAAGGAACAAAGATTGCATAAGGTACCATATATTTTCCTCATAATTGACTGGTCTAAAAATATGATTTTCTATGGTCCTTGATAAATCCCGGTGGCTAGTTGGAAATGAAAAAAACATTAATTTTTGGAACCATGATTGGACATTTGTCAATCTTGGCACCTTGTTTAATACCCCTACTAATGTGCTCCATAATATGCAAGTAAAGGTTCAGGATTTTATTATCCTTTCCAAGTGGAAGGGTTCCCTTGTGTTAGAGTTTCACTCTCTTCATCCTACACTTTGTGTGGATGGTGGTTCTGCTATAAAAGCTTCACTTTATGAAGCTAAAAGTGCAAAACAAAAAAGCAAGCAGCAGTGAGAAGAAGAAGTTATCTTATCTATTCATAGGCCAATGATGAAGATGAGTTACAATTATATACAATATGACTCAGCAAACTAAGCTGAGCTGGCAGATAGTAACTAACACCAAAAGCAGTTACAGTTAGTTACAGCAAAATAATATCCTACACAGGGTGTACCATAGCATTGCTACACCATATTCCTAACACCCCCCTCAAACTGAAGTGTGGGAAGGATGTTGCACCACCTTGAGTTTGGTTCTGATATCCTAAAATGCGGTTGTACCAAGAAGCTTCGTAAGGGTGTCAACAAGTTGACATTCGGCAGGAACATGTTGGACCTGTAACTTTCCATCCACCACGCGTTCACGTACAAAATGAATTTCTAATTCAATATGCTTCGTTCGAGCATGTAGAACTAGGTTGTGCGATAACATCACGACACTTAAGTTGTCACAAAGTAAAGTTGCTGGATGAATATGAATGTGTAGCTCAGACATAAGAGACTCGAGCCAAAGAAGTTTAGAGGTAGTGTGAGCTAACACGCGATACTCAGCTTCTGTACTAGACCGAGCAACAAGGGACTATTTCTTTGAACTCCAAGATACCAAATTTGAGCCAAAAAATATGCATGAGCCAGATGTAGACCTTCAGTCATCTGGATCACTAGCCCAATCAGAATCACTGTAGGCTCTAAGTGAGAATTTGGAGGAAGAAAGAGACGAAGCTAGCACGAGACCATACTTGATGGTGCCACTTAAGTACCTCAGAATTCTTCTTACAACAACCCAATGTGCATCAAGAGGACAGGACATGAACTGACATGCCTTGTTCACGGCAAAGGCTATGTCAGGCCTAGTGAGAGTGACATATTGAAGCGCACCAACCATTGACTTGTACAAATGTGGATCAGAGAAGGAATTTGGACCATGCTTACTCAACTTACAGTTGCTTAACATAAGTGTAGGAACACCATTTTCACTGTCCATCTTGGCTCTGGCAAGAAGATCTTTGATATACTTGGACTGACTGGGAAATAGAGAACCGTTGTGGCTGAATTCCACTTCAATACCTAGAAAATAGCTAGGTCTCCCCAACCTTTTTAAAGAAAACTCATGATGCAACTTGTTAATAAGGGTGTGTATAAGAGAAGTATTAGAGCCAGTGATGAGAATATCATCCACAAAAACTAGAGCATACAAGGTAACGCTAAGCTTGGAGTATACAAAAAGGGAACTGTCACATTTTGAAGTGTTAAAACTGAACTGGAGAAGAGCTCTGTTCAATTTCTCATACCAGGCCCTTGGGGCCTGTTTGAGACCATAGATAGCTTTATGAAGCTTGCATACCAGACTTTTATCAAAACTCACAAAGCCAGGTGGTTGAGTCATGTATACTTCAT